CCCCCCCCGGACAGGTCGCCAGTCTATCACAGGGCTGAAATGTAGACAACCCCAAACATTCACACACACTCACTCCTCAGGGCAATTTAGAGTCGCCAGTCAACCTAAACTGCAGGTCTCTGGACTGTGGGAGGAAACCGGAGTACCTGGAGAGAACCCACGCCAGCACAGGGAGAACATTACAAACCAGGTCGGCCGGGGCTCCAACCCGGAACCTTCTTGCTAACTGCTGTGCCGCCCTATGTCAGAGTCTGTATGATCAAATTTTCTACGAAACTGAAACTGTCAAATAAATGTAGTGCAGTAAAAATGATCACATTTCTCTGTGGTGAAGTAATTTGGAAATATTCAAAGTAGCATCTCTGCTTGTTGTGGGTAAAACACTGACCTCCTTTGTTAGCTGCATCAACGGCCTCTGCGGGCAAGCCGAACTGGTTCATCAGAGGGCCTAACTGGCCGGACGCCAGAGCGCTGCTGAACATGCTCATAGCCTGCAGAGAGAGAAAACATACCAAATGGAGAGGCAATTACCACAACAAGATGCTAAATGCTAACAGTGTCTCACAAGGACCAGAATCCTGCTAAAAGAAAAATACGGTATCTCACATTCTGCAAACTGTTTTTTTTTACCCAAGGACAGCCAAATGTTTCACATCATGGAAATAAGAACCAGGAGTGGTTTTTGTGTTTATCAGGTCATTATGGAATCTCAGTTGCTCCACACAAATACAAACTAATACCAGGCTGCACTTAAATGGGAATAAACAGATAATATTCAAACAAACTACAAAGTGACTGGAAACAACACTTCACCTGCTGAAACTGAGGTGAGCTGAGTGTGTTGTGGAGCTCCTCTGAGCTCTGAGGCAGGGACTCTCCAGAGGGCAGATAGGGCATCAACCTCTGCTGCACCTCAGGGTTGGCCAGGATGGGAGCCATGACCTCAGGTGTCAGGACGCTGGCGAGGTCCACTGCACCACCAACAGAAACGGGTTAGTCTCAACATATTCCCCAGACTTAAAAAAAAGTCGTTACTCTCTGTTTCTAGCCTGGCAGCTTGGATTAATAATAGACTGCATATATATGTAAATCTGTTGGTGGGGTTAGTGTGATTAGGTAGAGTAGCTTTAATCACTGGTTAGTTGCAAAGATATATTCTAATAGTTTTCATTGTCTGACCAACAGACAAAAACCCAAAGATGCTGACTTCACTGCCACAGACTATGAAAGCTAACAAATATGTTTGAGACTGCGGTACCAGTGAATTTTGGGCCCTATGCTTAAAAATGACTAAGTATAAAATTGTCACCTATTCATTTTCTGTCAGTCAAATAATCAACCTTTGCTCCATAGCAACCACTTAGTAAAGCCTTATAACCAGAGTGGATTAAGGATGATGGCATTTCCATTGACTCTATAAAGGACCTTCCTTTAAAAGCGGTAATGGCGGATCATGGGAGCATTGAATAGTTCCAAATATTAGCAGCAGCACCACAGAGTCGCATCGACTTGGTTGCCACCTTCCAAAGAAAGAAGCTGAAATCAACTACGATAATTCTACTTGTGACATTTTAAGATAGTGATGAGTCAAAAACACATTTCACAACCTTTAGAAACGCCATGAGTCAGACCCGCTGCCGTTTTTGACCCCCTCTTCTATCCTGAGGGCTCTGCTACCTGTTAAAACCACCACCAACACTGAACATGTTGAACACAAACTTAAAACCTACTTTGTCAGCTTGGATTCATTTAATTGTTGTTTTTGTCTGTTCTATCTAGCCAAGTCTTTTTTCTTTTGTTAGTCTGATTGGTTGATAATACACAATGTACTTATGTGAGACTTTGTGGTACTATGAGAGCAGAGTGGATCAGACCATTAAAGCTGAGGCTGTACTTCCTAAACAACGAGCTGACAAATGCTATAAAGCTCCGTGGTGCTGAGAAGGAACTACAGAGTGAGGTAGCAATTCTCTACGGGTTTGTCTCCTCTCACACAGGAGATGAGTGATCCATTGTTAATAAAATGTATTGATTACAGCTACTTGACTTCTTGCATAGCACTTAAAAACACCTCAACCTAATTTTGCATTCTTCATTTCTTTCCTCCTCTTTCTACTCCGTCAGCATTACTCTAGTTTTATATGTGAATCCATGGGCTGGGCGAGGGCAACAAATCATGTCAAAGAAGCAGGAAGGATGGAGAGTTGGGCCTAATGTAGTGTGGCACGTTTAAAATTAAATCCAAACAGCCACAGAATGCAGTATTTGCAGGGGGTCCCCTTCTTCTGCAACAAACTGAATTTACTGTTAAAATGGCACAGAATCAAAAGTGTTGCATTCACAATGCTAATGATTTGCTACACATTTAGATGAACTTATGTCAGTTAGCCCCCATGATGCCTTTCCCTTTAGGTGGTTATATAAGTTTTTTTCTTATCTCAGCCCAGAAGAGAATATTTTCAGTCTGCCTGGAGTTCGGGTCCTTACCTCCCTGGCTACTAGCAGGCACGTTCATGGTGGCCAGGATGCTCTGCAGGTCTCTCAGCTGGATAGGCTGCGTGGGGGTGGTAGACCCCGCTGCCAGCGAGGACGCAGCAGGAGTGGAGGTGGTGGTGGTGGCTGTGGGGGAGGGTGCTGAGGTGGCGGGAGGGGGTGGGGGGGCGCTTGGGTAGAGGCGAGCCGAGCGGCAGCAGAAGTGGAGGTGAGGGTTACGGCTGTGGATGGGCTGAGAAAACAGGGAAAACTAATACATCATCTCCACATCCAAGGTCACTGGACACTTCCTGAATCACACTTCCAACATTTTTCCTGGGTCTTAACACATCAACTGCCTCATACAGCAGCTACTGTCTGTCATAGCTCCCCTCAAATGCTTCTAGGCAATGTCTTGTCGTCTATGTTTGACTATTCACCAGCAACAGCGGCAAAAATATGCCACAAGGCAAATGAACATTAAACAAATAGGCTCAAAAATACAAGGTACCTAGTCTGTGTTTGAACAGAAAGTGTTTTGGGGCTGGTTTTACTGGGTTTTTATTGTATTTAATGGGAGTAACCACACAATACCTTGTTGAGGAGTTGCTGGCTGCAGGAACAATATGGCGCGCGGCGCCCGCCGCCCCCCCCCCCCCCCCCACCTCCGCCGCCGCCTCCCAGGACGTTGGCCAAGCCTGGACCAGCGAGCGCCCCGAGACCACCTGATACTCAGAATACCAGTCAGATTATTCTCCTGAGAGCATGAATGATATTTTTCACTTAAGAGCAAATACACTGGGTCATGCTTTGACACTGTCAGCTCTGCCACTTGAAGACTCATTTAAGAAGGTACGTACCAATGCCCCCCAGTCCAGTTGGTCCTATGAGCTGCATGAGCTGGTTGTGGCTCATGTTACCCAGAAGGCTCTGCAGGCCACCCTCCCCTTTACACGAAGACAGAAGAGAACATGTGACAGAGCATTAGAGTGACATGTTTTCTGATGCGAGGCATCTTTCTGGTTCTTGTCCACGACGATGAACATGAGCATCTGTTACCTCCTAGAGCAGACAGATCATGTCCTCCACTGCCGCCACTACCGAGAGCGCCTGGCATGGGCGGGTTGTTCAGATACTCATTCACTTTACGGCAGTACTCCTCGTCCTTGTCAGTTTTTGGCTCCTGAGATCAGAGAAACAGTGAAAACCAAGTGAAGGACCATTTAAACAGTAGATGGTATTTTCCCGTCTGCAGCGATCACGCTCCTGTTGAAGTTTAAATAAATTAGAAAGATGCAGGAAGAGTTGCTTTCAACTCTGAAGGACAACACTGGTGTATTTTTTTTTACTGTCAACAAATTTAAAAATTGTCACAAACATAGATTTTTTTTATATAGGTTTTTAAAGGCCAGTTATTTTTCTATATTAACATTTTCAACACTCCCTGTACGGGGACTAAAACAAACATCCTCAACTCACTGTTATCTGTCAGTCGGGGATTTAGTTTATTCTTCTCTGGCATTGCTGCTGCTCTGGCTGACATCCTTCCTCATTACGAAACACCAGACCCTGATTTATTTATTTTTTGAATGTTGCTCCAAATGAACATCCATAACTTTGTACATCATCTGAAGTAAGTCACGAGCCCGTCCACAAGTTCTCTGGATACTTTTTAAAACAAATATTAGGGTCTTGTATTTTGTAATAAGGAAACATGTCACCCAGAGCAGCGGTGTGTTTCCCTGATGTGTTTTTAATCATTTTTGAACAACAATGGAGGTCTACAGCACAGACAAATAAGCTAATCCAGGACGGACAGCTTGAAGACTCATTTAAGAAGGTACGTACCAATGCCCCCCAGTCCAGTTGGTCCTATGAGCTGCATGAGCTGGTTGTGGCTCATGTTACCCAGAAGGCTCTGCAGGCCACCCTCCCCTTTACACGAAGACAGAAGAGAACATGTGACAGAGCATTAGAGTGACATGTTTTCTGATGCGAGGCATCTTTCTGGTTCTTGTCCACGACGATGAACATGAGCATCTGTTACCTCCTAGAGCAGACAGATCATGTCCTCCACTGCCGCCACTACCGAGAGCGCCTGGCATGGGCGGGTTGTTCAGATACTCATTCACTTTACGGCAGTACTCCTCGTCCTTGTCAGTTTTTGGCTCCTGAGATCAGAGAAACAGTGAAAACCAAGTGAAGGACCATTTAAACAGTAGATGGTATTTTCCCGTCTGCAGCGATCACGCTCCTGTTGAAGTTTAAATAAATTAGAAAGATGCAGGAAGAGTTGCTTTCAACTCTGAAGGACAACACTGGTGTATTTTTTTTTACTGTCAACAAATTTAAAAATTGTCACAAACATAGATTTTTTTTATATAGGTTTTTAAAGGCCAGTTATTTTTCTATATTAACATTTTCAACACTCCCTGTACGGGGACTAAAACAAACATCCTCAACTCACTGTTATCTGTCAGTCGGGGATTTAGTTTATTCTTCTCTGGCATTGCTGCTGCTCTGGCTGACATCCTTCCTCATTACGAAACACCAGACCCTGATTTATTTATTTTTTGAATGTTGCTCCAAATGAACATCCATAACTTTGTACATCATCTGAAGTAAGTCACGAGCCCGTCCACAAGTTCTCTGGATACTTTTTAAAACAAATATTAGGGTCTTGTATTTTGTAATAAGGAAACATGTCACCCAGAGCAGCGGTGTGTTTCCCTGATGTGTTTTTAATCATTTTTGAACAACAATGGAGGTCTACAGCACAGACAAATAAGCTAATCCAGGACGGACAGACATTAACAGTTAGTTTTAGTCTCTGTATGGGGAGTGTTGAAAATACTGTTAATATAGAAAATGACCCACCTTTTCCTTTAAAACAACCGGTCACTGTGAAAGGTAAATAGTATTTTTTCAGGGACTATTTTCAGCTGCAGATGAATAAACATTTGATTTTCTAGTGAGAACTTGCAGCAGCAGGATGGTGCATCAAAATAAACCACAGCACCTGTGTACATTGTGATAAAAATACAAGCAACTTAGTGCAATGGTTTGGCTCATTCATGTGGTTTTAGTAATTTTGGACAATAATGGAGGACTGTAGCACAGATGAATATGATGCACACAGGCAATATTTATGTCTTTTCATGGGATTCGTTGACATTAGGAGAAACAGAGACCAAATCTAGCTTTATCTTCCTGATATAAAGACTGTGTTTCTGCCACATTGCAACCTGCTGCTGTTTAAAGTCTTTACAGAGGATGGAACAAATCAGTTTTAATGGTGTAATTTACTCTAAACCCTCAGCCAGGAGGTAAATGCTTACACTCAGAGCAGAGGATGTGGGTTGGACTATTCTCTCTTTATGGTGCCTCTGTGAGTACAGACATCTCATATAAAGAGAGAAGAGAATGGCGTCCTTTCCTCCCTACAGCTTGTCAAAGATGACTGAGTTTAGATCTGAACCGGCACATTACCACGCCATTCTTAGATACGTATGTGATTATGCTGTCTGGAAGTAAAACAAAGGAGTCTCTCATCAGTAGGACTGAAAACCAAAGCTTCATGAGTACAGAAGGGAGCTGAGCAGGTCACCCAGCTGCATACCTGCATCCAGAAGAAGAGCCTTTTGGAGCCAGCTTTGAACTTCAGCACATAAATGCGTCCAGAGGTGCACTGGTTCACCCGTTTGAACTCGCAGTCTTCAGGGAAGATGATCAGGTCCTAAATTTGGGACATGAAGGGGTTAATATTAAGAAGTCAAACAGACCAGGCAGAATTACATGCAGACGGTATCGCGTACATCATCGACGTTCCCAGTTGTCCGATCCTTCCAGCAGAAGTGGATGAGGGAGTCGTCCGTCTGCTGGATGTAGACCTGCCCTTTGCGCTTGTCAGGGGTCACTGTGCTGCCCTTCATAGTCATCTTACCGGCCCGGAACTCCACCAGGTACTTGCTGGATGAGCCTCGGGACCCAGACACCATGCTGGGGAACAAAGCTCCAGAGGCCATGGTGATGAGGTCAGACGGACTACTGCAGGAACAGGGGGAAGGAATACGTTTACTGACCTCAATACAACAATACAGAATAACTTCATGTGATCAAATAATAACATGCAACATTTTTACTCTGCTCTCATGATTCTACATGAGTTTATAAAACACCAAGGTGTAGGTGAACCTATCACAGAGCCTGACTGAATCATTTTGTCACAGCCCAAAATTACCATCAAATTAATTTTGTTCTCATTTACAACCATGCTATATTTTCTGCAATAGGCTTCAGTGTGTCCAAGTGTTTCAAGAAATATTTCCCTTGGTGTTGCCAAAATGACAAATGTCAGGCATTAACATTAGAACATGAAGCCGTCTTCACTATGTCCCTGTTTAGATAGCAGAAAGGGTTGGGTTTTTTTAAAGCCTGTGACCTCTTGGTCACAGGAAAAGCACAGGTCAGGGAAAACTCAGGAAAGTAAACATTTTTGGGTAGCTCAATGTCATTTATGTTTTTCATTTCCCAGACTGGTAATCATCTTGCAACCGCTCGTAGTGGTCTTGGCTCCCAGGTTGGGAACTGCTGACAAAAGGACACCCATGAGGCAAAGGGCCCCTGGACACAAATAAAGGGCCTCCCATCCCTCTCACATACGATGCCTGTTCATTAATGTGACCACAGTGGATTAACTATGTATGGTGGAACATTTGGACTTTCAAACACGAGCTCAGTAATATCATTTGATGTTTTGAAGCTCTTAGTAGTTCTGCATCTTTTTTGCAGTCACTTGGGAGGCATCTGGTTAACTTGACAATAAGACATACCAACTTACACAGGCTGTGGTCCAGGAGGCCCCTGACCCTTTGGGCCCCTAGGTCTGTGCCAGGTTCGCCCATTCAGTAATCCTTTGTGATTACACTGGATCTAACTGTGCATGGTGGATTTCTGAATACTTTTAACAGTGCACAGTGACATCACTGTAATGAAAATGGATCCCATGATCTTAAACGTGCGTTCCACAGAGGACTAAGCATAAAACACGGTTCAATTTCCTTTATCACACAATACACAAGGAGCACATGGGCTCTGAATGAAGAATGAGGAAGACGTGAGACCATATATTAGTCCAATGAAGGATGTCTTTTAACTGCTTTGTCACTTCACTCTCCATGAACATATTCATCCAGCAGATTGATTCATGTATAGTACAAGTGCTAACTCCTGTTGACAAATTCATTCTGGACATATTTCTAGCCTATTTAATGTACAGCTATTGTTTTGTTATAGCCCTATAATCATTAAGCTCTACAAGAGTGAAATGAAAACAGGCCTGAACAAACAATATGCGGATTTTTTAATGACTCAGCCCAGTGCTCCCATGATAAAGCCCCTATGGAGCAAACTACAGCTACAAACGCACCACAGATGACTCTGCATCCCGCAGACAGCAGCCTATTTCAGCTCACTGTGGTTCCGACTAAACTCCAAATTTAGCCTACATTTCATACACACGGACTAAATATGCACCTAGCTGCTATTTCATCAAATGAAACGTATTAAAAATAAGATGTTTGTACTCACATTTCTCTCTGAATTATCGTTGCAGCTGCAGAACGGTCAAACTCAATAAAGATTATGGTGATTGGTTGACGAGCGCCGGTACTTCACTGTGATTGGTCAAACCGTGTGTCCGTAATGTGAGATTTAAAGCTCCTGCGCATGTCCGGTAGAGATGACACAGAGCTGCTCCAGTAATGGTTTCCTTAGTTCTAGGATAAATCAGGATTAATATGTAGAGCACAAGCTCTATGGCCATATAAATCAGCGGTTATTCAACGACTAGGGCTGCAGCTACAGATTAATCTCATTGCTGATCAACTGATTTTTTTAAATTAAGCTCTATATTTAGTATGTGATATGTGATTTCATTGTCTTTGCTAAAAAAAAAACTAAAAAAAATTACTGAACTTATTGGTCAAGTATCAAAATTGTTCCAGGTTATTTTTCTGATGATCAACTAGTCGATTTACCTATGACCCAGTCTGTCAACTTGTTACACCTCATCACATGTTGTATCATGTCAATCTGTTACTACTTGCTTTTCATTGTTTCTTTTCAATTGGGGGCCCTAAAGAAAACACAAACCCCTGTCATAAAGATGCTGTTTACATGTAAAACTGATACTAAAAGCAAAATCTGATAGTTCAAACAATGACAAAGCCAATAACTTCAGCTGTCCATAATTTATTTTTTAAGTATGCCTTGTATGCATATGGTGGTGTATGGTAACAGCAAGAAGAGAAGATAAACAGTGATCAATGAACATACAATGTAAACATTTTGAAATGGATGCTAGACAAAAAAGAGCGTGCAGAGAGCGTGAGATCAGAAGAACCATCAGACTGAATCTGCAGGCATCACAAAGTGCTTTGAATTCAGAGTAAAGCCGAGAGCAGCTGGCAGAAGACAATGTCAGACATTTCACTATAAGATATGTGCATAGTACTGTGAGCAGTCAAATGTGCAGTTTAATACACGGTTAGTGCTTGGAAACAAAAGGCTCTGCTCTACAATATGTATGTAAGGGTTATATTATGCCTTTGTAATGTCTGAAGCGCACATCGGCTTCTGGATTGAAGAGGAATCAAGAGTTTTTTGTTCTTCGTATTTCTAGAGGGCAGATGGCCTGGGTCAGTTTGCATAGGTTCATGACGCTTAGAACGTCCTGTCTCATTTGTCACTACTGTGTCCAAAAACTTTGGACCTCGAACAGGATACAAACAATCAGGACAACCTGTCCATGTGTCAAGACAATGGCAGTGATCAGGAATCAATGTGACACAGCTTTGCAACACCTTCTAATTAAGAACGTGCTTAATAATCACCACATTTCTGGTGCTTTGAAAACCCTCTGCTTTAAACCGAGATTCTCTGTATCCAGCATATATATAATTAATATATGCAGAAAAAGGTTTTATGGCTTTGTCTTGTATAAATAATCATCCTGGTGACAATGCATGCACCACTTATTATGCACATTATCTATGTTACAATGGACAACAATATAATGTACCAACAATATTTGTTTAATGTGGCATTAAACATGATTATAAGCAGCTGTTGTTTCTACTGTATGTCTCTATTCACAGAAAATAATCGTACTTGTGACATTGTAGGGAAGTGTAGTGCCAACTAAAATAGAAGTAAATTCTAAAATTTACATTCGTATTCCATTTTTTTTTTCCTGTGGAGAACGTTCACAGTCATTTGCAGGTAATTTGATCAACTGTCTGACAGCATTTTGATATCAGCTTTTCATTGATTAAGAACACCACAGACACAACTACTAGACGCTGAGACAAAAGAAAGCTTCAAACTGTGCACCCCATGTGTCAATAAATGTCGGGACAGTCGGTGTAATTCCTGTCAAAGTATCCACCTGTGTACAGCCAGTCTTCTGCTCCTGTATGAGGGTTTATGCCCAGCTGGAACCACCTAAAGAGACAAAGCACACATGACCTGTTTGTAATGCCAGAAGCTTCAGCTTGTGTTTCTTACAAAATTGTAACATAATTAAAATAAAAAACCTTTCACAAACACACACCTGGTCGACCACTCCTCCTGATTCTGGGAGCGTTGCCTGCGTGCAGCCCTTTGTTTCTCCTCTACCACCGCTCTTTTTCTGAATTTGCTGTGTCTATAAAACAGAAAGATATGAAGGAAGAAGTCACTACTGAATCATGTGAGACGATTCTGGCTTTTCTCTGCATCTATAAAAGTCAAAATCCTCCTGTTAAGTGAGGCTGCTGTTACCTATGTCTCCATTTTCCATGGCCCTGATGTCGGGCCTTAGCCGACAGTCTGTTGGGGCCAGTATTCTCTCCATGTCAGGCTCCAGCTCGTTTAGTGTTATGGCAAAGCTGGTGAAGTTATACATCTACACAGGAGGAAACCCAGGAGGAAACTTTTAAAGAACCAAATTAACAGGATCATTTTAGCCTGACATCAGCATGATGACTTGTTAGGTTAAGCTTTGTGTTTGTGTGTCTATAAGAATTTAATGCAAGTCAATGGGGTAAGCATGCACGAGGAATGAAAACAAATGTGTGTGTTTGTGAGTGACCTGTGCTGAGTGGGCGGGCCGCGGTGTTATCCTCCACAGTAAGGCACTTCCTGGTATCACAGTCACAGACTCTTTAACTTCTGGCATATCATCTGCCTCCTGACCTTCATAACTATGTTCCTACACACACACACACACACACACACACACACACACACACACACACAAAGATAAATACCATTATAAGACTTTATAACTAGCTAAAATTCGCAGTATGTCCAGTACATCAGCAAACAGGTGATTCACAGAACTACAGTCGCCACAAATTCAACACTTCTTTCAAGCAACAATGCATGTCATTACAAGACATTATGGATTAGTGCTGGCAATGATGTAATCGTGCATTACACTTTGAACATAACTAGACAACAGCAGTAGCACAGAGAACACACTTTTACCTTATCTTCTAAAGCCACTGCAAGATATTGTAAAAGGAAGAGATACCATTTGAGAAAACCATTTTAGAGCGATGAGTAAAATTCAGATTACTTCATGCTGGAAGATAAATAAAATGTCTATGATGAATGTAGGACAAACTCCAGGCAGCGTTTAATCTTGGTAGACCCACAGATGTCAGTCAGTCCATCAGTCACATCTGTGCATCACTCACCTGTCTCAGCTTTTCTGAGTCTCCCCCTGTCTTCTTGTAAACTTCATAAACCTTGGGGTCCACACTGTACATGCACTCTGTCCACTTCCCATAGATCACCTGTTGATTCTTCTTACTGGTTCAACGGCAGAGACCTCAAATTTAGTTTAGAGAAAACGAACCACAACCACCAGCTATTCACAGTAGCGCCCTGGTCATGGTCTTGCCTTTTGTCTTGGATATGACCTTCTACGTTGTGCAGCTCTTTCCCAAACATGCCACATGGTTTGAAGTTCAATATGCACTTATGTCCTGTGCTGAGGAATTAAATGCAAAAAAAATAAATAATATACATCAATCAATAAGCATTGGTCTGAACAGTGCTTCCAGTAAAGTATCTGTCACTCTACCTGTGGTTGACTATTTCCATAGTTCCATATTGCTCGATCCAGAGTTTTCCCAAGATGACATTATGCACACATGACTTTGGATATGTCCATGTGTACACTTCTTTATGTCTGTAAGAAAATCACAGCATCCTTACGCTTACACCAACATTCTGGGGACTAGAGACTTAGATGAGAAGATCAGTACCGCTGTGATATCAGTCCATTAATATAAAACGGAGCCAGCAGTTAGCTTATCATAAAGACTGAAAACAAGGGGAAACAGCTAGCGTAGCTCTGTCTGAAGGTAACAAAACCCACCTAACTCCCTCAAAGCTCACTAATTAACACTTGCACAAAAGTCCACAAAAAATGCAAACTATAAATTTTACACTTCAGCTTTTTTATGGAATAAACAAACAGCATATAATGTGTTTAATACTGAGCCTCAGAGGTGCTGGTAAGTGGGTTTTGCTACTTGCAGACAGAGCCTGGGCTTGCTGTTTCCCTATGTCTAGTCTTTGTGCTAAGCTAAGCTAACCAGCTGCTGGTAAACAAATAGAGTGCTGTTTGAACCTCTCATCCAACTCTTGACAAGGAAGCATATTTGCTAAAATGCTGAACTATTCCTTTAAAGACCACTGGGCTATTGTATGTTGATGCCCACTAGAATGTTCACATGTTAATGCAAAATTAAGTTGATCTACAGTTTGGGTATGAATCTCTGAGTGAGCAATAAAAACATTGTAAGAAAAGCCAAGAACATACAAAGTGTCCAAAAATGCAAATGCTGGTCAAATAAAAAAATATACATATTGTTAAAAGGAAAACAACAACAACAAAGAGTGTGAGCATGTAGAAATCTATACAAGTACTCACTTGAGTAACTCCAGTGTCATGGTGCCTCTGGGCTGAACCTCCACACTTTTCCCCCAGAACTTGAGTTTCGGGCACATGGAGCCATGAAGCTCAAACTCTTGCTTCAGAGACTCTGCATGGAAGGCACTGACAGGGGGGTGATGGCTCACCTGCTCCGTGATCCATCTATAACCCTCTTCCTCTCTTAACAACAAACATTTTAAAACTCCCATAAATGAAACAAAATCATTTTTATTAACAAGGCAAAACTGCAATTTAAGCTTCCACAGGCTTTTGTCAACAGTCTTCTCTAATACCTGATGAGTTCATACGTCTCCCCCAGTAAAGGATTAAATGGTTTTCCAGTCCTTTCCCACTGAGACGCTACTGTTGAAACAGCAAACGCAGCAACAACCTGGAACAGAGACATGCAGTGAATCAGGTCAGCTCATCTAGACAGGAAATTAACATTTTGTTTGAGCAAAAAATATCAAACACTCTGTATTGTGGCTTGTGAGGATCTGCAGCTTGTGTTTCTTGTATGTTTCAGGTCACTGAATCTCTTATGATTTGGTAAGAGTGTAAGATCTGTTACACCGATCTGTCCAAGTGTGTTTAGAACAATGTTACATAATAACATCAGTGTCATCTCTTATCGCTACCTGCATACGATCTACAGAATCCGATAAACCGCAGGCTTTGTAGATCAAGTGTGTGCATTCCATGTACTCCGAGATCCTCTGGAGCAAACTCAGCGGCTCATTAAACACAACTGGCATCACTATTTTGGACAGCTCCTGTAATAACCACAAAACATTTTAAAATTCTTATTTTTTAATCACAACAATTAAGTAAAAGAAAAAAAAAACAATCAGAATATTAACAGCAACAAATAGAGACAAGTTTTATATTGGACTCTAAAGGATGACACAGTGCTGTTGTACAAAACACCTTACTCCAACAGCTCATGCATTTTGTTATGTAGTTTCTAAGAAACCAAACTCCCCTTAAAGAGTAGGAAGGAGAAAACAGGACTTTTGCTTTCATTGTATTCAGATGGCAAAAAAAAAGCACTGCCCAAACCAATTACAGCAATCTGAGCAGAGATGAGAGCAAAGAGTTCTGTTGTGACTGATCTTGTAACCATGCAGTGCAAAGAAGAAATATCATTTAATGCATTATTCAAGAAAATGCACGCTACAGCTTTGCATAGTAGCTTTCTGTTCTCTCTGTCTTCTTAGGGAGCAGGTAGGACTCACCATGCCGATGCATTTCTTCAATATGCTCCAGATACTGAAACTGCTTCTGGAGATCATTGCGGCGGGCAGGACTTTTCTGGTGATACACATTTGGACCCAATAGGATTTAAAAACTCTGAAATCAGGCAAAACTTCTGACAGTGTATCTGTTAACAGCTGGATATTAAGAGTAGAAATTTTACAGCTAAAGATGTCAGATGATGGACTGAAGCTACACTGACTTTAAATGCTCTGCAGAGGAGGAGATCCCCGGCTAATCTGGCTAAAAATGTGGCTCTACTGGCCTGATAACACACGTGAAAGCATGTGTGATAAGACTCTCAAACCCCTCAGCTAAAGCCATGCGGACATGATCATGTGGTGACATTGGTTAAATGACATATTCTCGATTTTTGAAGTGAGAACACATAAATTCAACCCCTGCAGCAAAAACAAACATTAAAATGTTACTCTTTATTCAAACATCATCCATTTACTACATTAGTACTATATCTTGGCTGGCAGACACTTTCTGTAGCAGTGAAAAGTCCTTCTAGTCATGATTCAGACAAACATTTTCATCACTGGTGACTCTTCCAACATAGACCCTGTGTGTTCTTTAAGCCTGAACAGTGTACCACCACTCCTGTGTCAGTTATAAACCCTCCTGCAGCTACTCTGCAGCCATATAGGAGTTTTGTTTGTCTTCCTGCCCACCAGATGTGCAGTTTTATCTGAATGTTTTCTTTAGCTTCCAGGTCTTGACTTCCACAGGTCCCTGCCATTTCTTAATGACGTTTCAAACAGTCAAAATTTCAAGATGTAAGTGCTTTGATGTCTTTTTTTTATAGCTTCCACTACTTAGGAGGCACCACTTTGATTAATTTCTGATCCTCAGTCAGATGCTTTGAGGAACCCATAGTTATTGAGTGATATCATAAAGTTTTAAGAGTAGGGTTTGTAGGTGTTGTGTTCATTTCACTTCAAAGTCAACAAAACGTAATGTATTCTATTGTTTGCATTAACTGACTGTACATACAAGCCCCCCACACTTCTGCATGATTTATCACCTGCGCTCCCACACGTCATTCTCCCGTGTGGCACTGCCATCAGTCACCTGCTTGCTGTCAAACACCAGGGCATCTTTAAAACTGACCTCACAGGAATCATCCGACTCCAGCCCTGATGGAAGCAGGAGGAGGGTGAAGAAGGTAAAGACACTGTTCATTAAACTGGGCACTAAGAAGCAAGTACTTTTAACAACATGAGACCCCTGCCAGCTTGTGTCACCTGTCTCAGCGTCGTAGAATTCCTCTTCATTGTTCATACTGAGCAGAGAAAGTAACTCGGTGTTACTCAGAAGTCATGTTTCCACCACTGGCCTGTCTCTGCAGCCCTGCGTCTCTCCAAGCATCACACACAGCCAAACACACTACCTGCAACACAGACGGCTCGTTACACCGAGCAAGGCAGCTGTACGTGGTCATTAATCCTAAACATTATCTAGTGCATACTATGAATAACACGGTAACAGCTTGTTAGCTCGCTGTCAATAGTTCTGTTCCCTACAGCCTCAGATAGCCTATTAGTTAGCTATGTCATTAGCTAACTAGCCCTGAGCATCGCTGCTGCACTAAGTTAAACCGTGAGATGCTGAGTGGGCAGCAGAGATTAGCTAACACGGTCAGTGATAAACAAATACCAACACGGCCACAAAGGTAATCCAATTAAACATACCTGTAATTTAAGATGAAACTGAAGCGCTGCTAAATTAAACACTGTAAACAGATGACAGCCTCAGAAGATGGGCGGAAGTGAGCGACAAAAACAGTATGATTGACATGCCCGGTCAGCCAATTAGATCGCAGCCCGCAGGTCAAACGCTCTATGTCAGAATGATGCATCAGTAATAACAATATAATAAGTGGTAAGCCTATATAATATCACTAACAGGGGCATTTCTTTCTGCAGGACAAGTACTTTTGATACTTCAAGTTGGTGAAAATACTCTTGTAGCCTATTTCTAAAGGCTATCGACCAGGGTAGGGTAGGGTAGAACTTTACTGATCCCACAGTGGGGAAATTCCAGAGTTCCAGCAGCAGTAAGGGACAAAAAACAACAGAGAGCAAGCAACAAGACACCATAAGAAAGAAAAAAAAAACAGAAAGGAAAAAACACAAAAGAGGACAGAGCTACTGGAACTCGCTGCCGCTCCGTGCGGCGCGTCTTAAAAACTAATCGAGAATACCCAAAAAACAAGACAGTACAAGCATTTCAGAGACAAGAAACAGTTTTTTCATCAAGGGTTGATAGCAGGGTTTTATTTTGGAAAAGATGACCGGAAATCATTGTTAAACAACCTTAGTCAGACAGTGCTGGTCACTGCCCTCTCTCTCTCTCTCTCTCTCTCTCTCTCTGCAGGCATTATTATGGCAAAGTGTCAGTCGTCGGGATGGAGAGCAATAGGAAGGATGTCTTCAGCCAGCGAGCTGTGAACTGCTGACTGCGTTAGCACATTTGTGAAAACATCGTGATAATCTTGAATTAAGAACTGTTTGCTTGGTATTTTTTTTCAACCAGAAACAAAGGGGAACAAGACCAGAGAGAAAAAACAGTCGTGATGAACAGAGATAGAGACAAGAGCGCAAAACATGCGCTCCGGAGCCAGAAACAGTCCAGGACGCACCAGCAGGTTTCTGTCCAGAAGAAAAAGAATCCGTCCAGTGCCCAGAGTGGTTCCTACTCCAAGGAGACACTGTCTGGGAAGGAGGTGAAATCGACAGGACTGCAGGGAAAGCGTCTGGGGAAACGCTCAACCGGCGCCACCACAGAGAGCCAGCGGAGCCCCGGCGCGCAGAGGAAACTGTCCGATGCCAGCAACGCGTCAGAGGATCTGAGCAAAGACTCCGGCTGCATGTCTGGGAAACTCTCCTCCTCAGACAGTAGCTCAGAAATATCCGATTGCCCCTCGGAGAGGAACAAACTCGAATCTCCGAGCAGTGACAACGATTTAAGCTGGACAGACGGAGGAGCTTATGTGAGCCACAACAGTGAGGGGACAGGCGACGGCAAAGCCTGCGCAAAGGCAGCCAGAGATACCTGTGCTGGAGGGGCTCTCAGTTTATTTAACTCCTCAGGGGCCTTTATGAAGCTTATGATGTGGGAGTCAACCGAAGATCTTGTCAGAGAGGTGGACGATTTGAGGTCAGAGAACGAGTATTTGAAAGTAAGTTTAATTATCCAAAATTCAGTTTGTTGAATCTGCACTTTTAATTCTGTTCACTTGATAACTGTTGGAAGAAACTTATTGGAAGAAAAATCACAAGACGAAACATTTATGAGAAACATGACAAACCAAACAAACCCACCCCAGTTTTTACTAAATAGTTCTTGACTTGAGTTTCAAATACTTTCGGGTGAGTCGTACTGAGCCCTCATTTGTTACCGTGGTGGTGACTGTGCCCTCATTTGTATTTATAAGACTTCATATTGCTTTATAGGCAATGAAAAAAAAACATACTGTAAAAATGACAAATATAGAATTCCAACCTTTAAGTTAAGGTTTCTAAGGTTTCATAATCTGGATACTTAAAGTATGTAATGTGCAGATAAACAGCCCAGAGTTTTCTTCTTAGGTTTGTTTTTATGGCTGAAAATTGCTCACTTCATTATAATTTTAAACAAGGAAAAATAAAATTGTCATATTCAAGAAGCTGAAGTGTGGGACCCTTCTCTGCTTGATTTTGAAAAACTGGATGGATGCAGTAAGATGTTGATTTAGCACTTTTCCAAACTGGAACTCAGTAATTAAATCCTGGAAATAAATAACCAACCAAGACACATTCTTCTAAGTAGAAAGGTTCCTTGACGTTTAATTTTATCCTTACCCTTTCCTTGGTTTACCCTCCTTGTACAATGAATGATTTTTGCATTTCTGTGTTGATTGTCCCAGGATGAGGTGGAGGAACTTCGCTGTGAGATGCTGGAAATGCGAGACCTTTTCCAGGAGGAGGAGGTCTACCAGCTACAGGAGCTGCGGCTGCAGCTGGAGCAGGCCAACAAGACATGTCGCATCCTGCAGTACCGCCTCCGCAAGGCCGAGCGCCACAGCATCCGTGTGGCTCAGACGGGACAGGTGGACGGGGAGCTGGTCAGGAGTATGGAGCATGATATCAAGGTCAGAAATTCATCATCTCCTCCTTCCTTTGTGTGAGTTAACATAACATTTTAGGCTTGTTAACATAACACTCACCACCAGCAAACATTCAAAGCTTTTTCGCTGGCTTTTGACTGAACCACTTCCAGCTGCAGACATGTGAACAGTCTTTGTTAGTCCCACAAAGCTTTGTCTCATTTCAGTACACTAAACAGCAATCGACTTGTGCAAGCACACTGAAGGACTGTACTCAGTTGGCAGCACCCTGAATCATGACTGTCTGCTGTGCTGTAAAGTACGCCCTGCTGTTTGTCCACCCCACAAACATTTCAGTAGGTCGCAGCATCTTCATCATGCATCCTCTTTATACTGCACTTTTAACAGTTTAATTATGTTCTCCATGAGAAGGAAACAGAATAATAATAACAATTGTTTATCAGAATCATGGCAGGTCAATAACTCTACTGTTACAATGAGACTCTGTGGTGGCAGCCAGACTCTGTGAACCAGGGTGTGTGTGGTGGTGTAAGACTCACAGCAGCCTCGGCCCCTCATATGGCAAACTGCTCTAACAATTTCCGTCTGTGCCCAGGGGCCCAATGTCTCATAAACCGTCCCTGACTGGAACTACAATAACCTTGCTCTTTGCTTTGCTTACAGGTTGCAAAGAGCGTGTCCCTCCGGCTGTTCAATGAGCTGGAAGTGGTGCAGAAGAAGAATTCCCAGTTGGAGTGGGAGAATGAGGTGCTGCGTGGGAAGACACAGGAACTGGAAGTGGCCAAGCAGGTCTTACAGGCTGAAGTGGAGAAAGCCAGAGAGGTGCGACATTAAAGCTGAACATTTTATATTAAAAGCCCCCTTCAAACTCAAGTTATTTTGCTTATTGTTACTTCACCTTTTTAAATGCTTGAGCTTCACTGTGCAGAAAGATGAATGTTTGGCACCAGAAGGCTTTTTTCACACTGATCTGCTGAATGTTGTCTGTGCCCACCTTAAATCTGAGTTTAAGACAAGAGCAAGATATGAGTTTGAAATATGGTTTTGGTCCAATATGTACAGAATTAAATGCTTTTAAAAACATTTCGAGACCTGCAGATACCCTTTTATTCAACATAGAATATTTGTAAATGTGATAAAATGTGTGGCAGGGATTGGGTCTTACTACTGTATGCAGTCTAAACTACAGACATGCTCCATAAACCTCCATCCCTCTGCACAGGAATCCTCCTCTCTGTTACCCCACACAGCTGCACCCATCCCAGCCAGTTGTCCCTGTCACCCCTCTTTAACTGATGTCAGGTGACACATGACCCTGGTCCAGATCAATGATACGAGTGGAGGGCTCAGCCAGCAGCTGCGTGGTGCCGGGCAGGGTGGGGTGAAGCAGCCTGGTATGCTCCAGGCACAGCTGATGTCTTCAGCTGAGGACAGAGAAAAGGGATAGAGGGTGCTAACAAGTGAGCATGGGGGTGAGAGATTACAAAAATAGATTTGCTCTCTCTCTCTCGCTTTCTGCTTCTATTAAGCTAGACTAAATCTGGATCACTGTGTATTATGGCATTTAAAAAGGACAGTGTTTGTGTGCTGACATACTGACCTGCACCCATCACTGTACACTTTTATCAAATGGTGGCCACAGTGGCCTCACAGCGACTGAGTTGCCAGTCCACCTTTTACCCTTGCAAACCCACCTGCCTCTGTGCCTCCTTTGACAAAGGTTGTTCACTCTCGTGCCATGTGCTCAGTTTAATCCAGGATTCTGCGCTTTGGCATGGGGTCAGTCTGGTCCACTCATCTGAAACAGCTGCTAGTCCCTTTGATCCCAACAAGGAAATCTTCTTAGATTACCTAATCTAGGAGTACAAAACAGTCTAGATAGACGTGAAGGAGGATGAACGTTTCAGACACTCACAGTGTTGCAGGGCTGTCAGTGACCCTGTCTTGACTTGAATGGCAAAACAGTACTGTTAGTTCATGGTATAGCTGTACATGCCTGAAAAAATAAGGGAATCAGAAGTGAAGCTCTGTAAAAAGACAAAAGCTGTGTGTTTTTATGGGCATTTGTTGGTTTTTTCACAGCATAACTCAAAAAGTAATCATTGGATTTTGATTTTGATTTTTTTAAGAGGCAGGGTATAGCCCATGGAACAACCCACTGGATTTTAGTGCTGATCCATATCATTGTCCAGATCCAGGAATTTTTTAAGGGATTCTTCACCATTGTGAGATAGGGCTAATTCCATCTGTGTGTGTATATATGTATTTATTGCACCCTCGAAAACTCTGCATTGTTTTTATTCCTCAGTGCTCTCTGAAGAAGAAAAGCATTAGATCAACAGCCAGTAAGGCTGAGAAGAGGCTCTCTCAACATATTGAGGTTTGATATATTCATGATTCAAATACTGGCTGCATCCATGAGAATCTGCATGTTGCAATAGTCCTGATTATGACCGTTGTTGTTTGTTTGCCAAAAGGATGACAGTGCCGACCTCAAGTGCCAACTGCACTTTGCCAAAGAGGAATTAGCTCTCATGTGCAAGAAGCTCACCGAGTTGGTATCAGAGAGCGAGGGCATGCGCGAAGAGCTGGCCAAATACCAATCAGCCTACGGCGACATAGACGCCACTCAGTCACCTGAAGGCAAGTACAACTTCACCCACACCAGAGAGGCGGAGGTCAAAGTTCACTTGAAACTGGTGGAAGAAGAGGCGACACTCCTGAGCCGGCGCATTGTTGAACTGGAGGTGGAGAACCGCGGACTGAGAGCAGAAATGAGTGAGCTGAGGGAGAAAATAGGAGGAGTGGAAGAAGAAGAACAAGATAATCAGGATGTTTTGAAGAACAACGTGTCAGCTTCTACACCCCTGAAGGACAGGGAGGGAATAGAGGAAAGTTTAAACATGGGATGCACGGCTTTTGAGCCTGGTTCGAAGGAGGAATCGGTAAAAGGTAAAAGTGTTGAGACATCTTTGCTTTGCAGCCAATTGCAGACTGAAGGGATGAGTACTGCTTGTCCTATTACTCAAGAAGGTGCTGTAGATGGTGAGTGGGACCCTTCAGACAGTCAGGATGGTGAGAACAACAAAAAACCTCACCAAGGTCTCAAAGGAATGACTGTGAAAGACTATGAAACTCTTCTAGCTCTCAGAGATCATTCCTGCATTGTGCATGCAGCCATACAGCTCCTGACCACACCACCAAAAAATGGGCACTGTTCATCTCTCTCATGTGCGTTTACCTCTCCAACAGAGGTGAATTCGAAAGCCAGGTCACAGAAGATAATCCTACCAGGACCTTTAAACGAGGCTATGGAGCTTCTGCAGGCCATGCTGTTGGCTTTCATTGGGAGGGTGGAGAAGCTTTTAACAAGACAAGATTTAGGTAAAAAGTCTCTTCATGGGGACAGACATGTTTGTGATTCTGACACTTTCTCCTTCTTCTCTGGAGATGGTGTGCATCATATCACAGATAGTCTTAATCTCAAAGAGTCACCAAGTAAGCAGGAGTTTGTTGAAGACCTCTGTGCCACAGAGGTTGAGGAGAGAGCAACAAGACAAGCTGCTTCCTTTCCGTGTGACCCCATCCACAGCTGCAGGAACCCAAAAATGCAGCTTTCTTTGCAGATTCTGTGGATCCTCCATCAGTGGTGTCACGTTAAAGGACCTGACCTGCAAGAAAAAGAGGTAACATTTAAGATGCTGATCATTTACTGTTTCAAATAAACTTGTGTTTCTGGGCTTTTTATCACATTGTTCTTTAAATCAATCAGTTGTTTTTAATGCTAAGGTACAATTCTGGAACATTTAATTATATCTGGCTTTAAAAATATATATATTATTCAGGGTAAAGACAAAACCATGTTCGTGCTGCGAGGGTTGTTGCAAGACCTCAGTGCAGAGCTTCAGGATGAGCAGGTTGAATTTGACAGTGAAGCCAAGCTCATGTCCGGAATGGCAGCTGAGGTAAGGATAGCGTTTACCCTTCAGGCCTGCGTTCACTGTTGTGTGCGAGGCTGCGCGATACAGCGGGAAGTCCTGCTGATGATTTGTCTCCCTGGCCACACATCCTCCTGGCTCTCAGTTTGACAGGCATCATGAAAAGACTCATGCCAGTGTATTTGGGCTAATCTCTTGTAGGGGCTGCAGCCAAGCAGGGCAGGCATGTTCAGATCTGATCCATGAAAACACACAGATTCTCTGCTTTGTCCAAACATGGGGAAGTGCGTGTCAGACTCACTTTATCTACAAACGCAAATAGAAACTTTTAATGTACATCAGATAAGAAATGTAATCTATCAGTTGAGCCATTGCCACTGAACGGCTGGTGTGTCCTTTGCACATCGTGATTCAAGATCTGCTTTACAAGGAGCAGATTTATTTCTTTAATGTTTTTTTTTACTTCTTACTCTGCTGACTTCTTATCCCCATCCTTTCCTCAGAGGAGGATTTAGTTTCACTCTAAAACACAACAAAAGAGTCTTTAGCAGCGTTAGTGGCTCTGTTAGGCTGTGCAAACACACAGTGGTGCTTTGAGTTAAATGCTAACATCAGCATGCTGACATTTCACAGTGACAGCGCTAATCCTAACATGCCAATGTCACGAATCAGAGTTAACAATTAAAAGTTTGGCAGCCGTCCTTGTTGAGTTTGAGATACTTGGCCTTCACCTTCCACATCCTCTCCACAAACCAATTTTTTTTCAGTGGCTCTTTTTTACAAATGAAGGTATCCGAGTCATACTCGAGAGCTGTTCTTTTTATCGTTGTGACAGAGTGAAAGAGAGAGAGGGAGCCGTGGTTGAGTGAGCTAGCAAGTGAATGAAGAGAGAGAGCAGTGTTAGCAAAGACAAAGCAGTGAATCAGAAATAAAAAGTTATTTTCTAATTGTTTTGTGGTGGTAATGTTCAAAAGCACAAATACACACAGCCACACCTCCACATAACCCCGCAGGAAGAATTTTGTTTAAATGCAGCCAAAGCACACGCTGTTCTGCTTTTGCATCTCTGCTCCGCACCTTGTGCGTGTGCAGCTGAGCCCAGCTTTTGGGGGTAACACACACACAGACCTGAAATTAGATGCAATTTAGTTCTTAGATTACACCACAGACTTGTCTGGGACAAAAAACCTAGTACAAAAAAATACAAAGAAAAAGAAAAGAGTTAGTTGTTTTTTTTAAACAGCTCTCAAAAACGTAAGGGTACCATAATTACAATAATAATAATTAAACTTTGACTAGATAACAGGGCTAAAAAAAGTTATTAAAATTTGTCTTTCCAAATTTCATGGCAATACATTCACTAGTTTTTGACGTATTTTATTCTGGGCCAAAGTTGTGGCTCAGGTGACAAATCCATGCTACTATTATGGCTAAAAACCACCAGAAGCTAAATGTAACATCTAGTAACATGTTTTCTGACTCTTTTTTCAGCGAGCTATTAGTGGTATATTTGGTGATGAACAGAAGTGTGAAGCTGACAGGTCAGTGTTTTCCACAAACATTCATCTTGTCCTTCTTGTCCATGAGCTCACTGAAGTCATAACTCATGTACTTTCTGCTGTTTCCATAGAATCTGCAGCTCAAAAGGGAAAAAACGACAACAGTTTTCTCCACACAGCTCTAAGAAGAGGAACTGGTGCTATCTGAGTCAGGAGGCTGCCCAGCTGGACCGAGACAACCCTGTTAAGACGTGGGACCATCTAATCATGCCACTTAGCTTCCCTGATCTTGACTTCGAGCAGATGTCCATGGAGAGAAGCCACACTGCCCCGGAGAAGTCGGCCTTCCGCATCTACTACAGCCCCCCGTCAGCTCGCAGAGTCCAACTAGCTCACCTGAAGCAAAGCCACACTGCAGAGACAGAGTCTGTCAACACTTCGTCTTCCCGGTACACTCCGCTAACCTCCCTATCTCTGCTCTGTCTGGGCCCCTCTGCTAACCTGAGTGATGACATGAAGGAAATGACAGCCAGCTGGAGACAGACATTTCACAGAATTTCACAGGAGAAGAGAGGTAGATTCACGGAGCGGTGGGTGGACGTTGCCTGCTCAGGCACTCAGACCCACATAAAGCCACAGATGGTGAGCGTTGGTCTGCAGACAGATGGGACTCAGGGGCCTTTCACTGTGAGAAACAGCCCTCCCCGAGTCCTGACCTCTTCCTTAGTATCTGCCCACTCTCACCATATCTCCACCTCACTGGACGGAATAACAGCTCGAGTCGAGAGGCCCATTCGCTCCACCTCCTCACCTAAACTGAATTGGAGACACTCTACACCTGGTGCATCCTCTGTCCCATCATCCACAAATTTGAGCTCCTCCTCCTCTGTATCCCTTTCTAGAGATCGAGCACTGTGGAACCTGAATCACCAGAGCCACACTGGTCTAACATGGGCCCAACAAACCAGTCCCAGAGCAGGTTCAGGACAGAACCACAGCTCCCTGAGCAGTGCCAAACCTCCCGGCAAATCTGCAGGCACCAACCGTTACGGTTTGGTCACAGAATTTCTGCGCAGGATGAGTGGCCGGACAGAGAAGCCAGGGTCAGGACAGAAGACAAAGAGCAATCTGAAGAACTTGGAACGTGTTCCGACGAGGCCTCCCATCCTCCCGCTGCACAGGAACGACAGCGTGACCAGGATCGTCAATCAGAGGTTCATGAAGCAGAGGGAGATCAGTGCAGTCCAGAGAGAGGAGCGGGGCAGCATCCTGAACCACAGTGCGAGGCACAGCAGGAGTATCATCACAGCAGAGGTGAGGGTAACAAACAAAGTGGCCATCTACACACACACTTCTAATGCTATTGCATACTATGTTTCACAACAGTCGTTTTTCTCATAAGACATTTTGACCACCAACCACCAATTCAATCACTGACTTCTGTATATCACAGTCACAAAGTCAGCTGTTAGGGTGCATAACCTGTTCGCCACCTGTCACCTTTAATATGGTTCTGATAGTCACCATTTCTGGGTACACACAATCATTTAGACTCATTTAAAACTGGACATGAGCTCCAGGGCTGAATTGATTCAGTCAAAAGAAAATCACAACAGCAACACAATCTGGTATTCTATTGAAATACTAAATTTCTTTAATCTACCTCTCAAAAGTATGTTTCTCTGTCTTATAATCAGGACAGGAACTACGATGACAGCACCAGCAGCACCTTGACCTTCTGCTTCGCTCGTCCATCTCGCTCCACCCAGAGACACATGTCCAACCAGGGCAAACTCCACCGACACAGATACCCGCCTCCAGTGAGCACAGCTACAGACTCCTACTGTGAGTGAAAGGGAGGAGGAGTAACAGCTGAAAGTGGTCAGATCCACAGGACAGGAATTTAAAATGTAATCCCTTCTTTACTAGGAGAACTGGTACAGTTACTATGTGAGCAATGTTTAGGGGAGATGTGAGTAAACCAATAGATATGTATATTTCTTCTCATGCAATTAACCATCTTTAGATCTCCTTTAGCAAATTACTCTCAATTACTAGAACCTACAATCTTACAAATGAGTTTATTTTATATTCTCACAACCGAGCTTCATGTAAAACTGATTTTGCACTAACACTGTGAGCTGCAAAGTCATTATATATTGTCTCTATAGTATTTTGTAGAGAATAGCCTCATGTATTATTGAATAAACTTCTAACATCTGATCAATAGGCCTACACTTCATTGTCGTCTTATTTCTTTACATGTGTCTTGCTTCACAGTCACACCTCAGCCCTTAAAATGTGTAGATTTTATTTAAGTTGTAGGAAGCAGTTACTCTGTGGTGGGGCTAATCAGCCTGTTCAGGAGAGCACTGCGGAATATTGCGTCACACGTTCAAAAAATAAAAACAAACAGTTAAGTAGTTAATAAGATTTCCTCACCTGTTAGAAGCACAACCCCCTGTCTCCTGACTGTCACTGACAAAACTTTGTGTAGGGCTCTGATTTGTAGCTGTGTGACATACCTGGAGATTAAATTTGAGCTCACTGAGTAAGATGGAAGCTCAGATTTTCTCCTCTGGCTGCCAACTGGCCGGGTGTGGTCAACAACGGGGCAAGTGGAGGAGTCACACAATCACACGGTGTCACGTTTCTGCTCACCACACATGTTCATCCTCTACTGTTTCACATCACACACACAGAACAATGTGAGTTACTCCCTAGTGGGGTAATTTTGATTCACTGTAACCCAGTTTCACATTAACAGTGGCAAAAACACACAACAGTCCAGTGCAGTAAACCAATAACAACTTACAAAGATAACATGCATGAATAGTCCTTCTGCTACAATTGTTAAAATACAAAAATAGGCAAAATTGTGATTTCATATGTGTGTAACATTGTCATTACAAATATTATAAATGACACATTTTGAGAAATGTATTTGCTGCAGTGCAAAAACTTGTCACGGTTGTATACCTCCACCAGTCATGTTCACAGGTATGGGACAGAGAGAGATGAGGTCAATGATTTTGACCTTTGACCGCCAAAATCTAATCAGTTCATCACTGAGTAAAAGTGGACACTTGTGCCAAATTTGAAGAAATTCCCTCAAGGCGTTCCTGACATATTGGGTTCACAAGAATAGGATGAACTCCAGGTCACAGTGACCTCGACAGTGATTTTGTTATTGCTGAGCCTTGAATAGGAAAGTTTATACCACTCTTATGTCTGTATGGCAAATGTGCGGCTAGAACCAGCAGTCTTTAGCTTAGCATAAATGAATTATTTTTAGCTTAGCATAAAACCTGCCAGTACTGTCACATCTAAAGCTCACAAAACATATTTAGTTTAATTCATACAAAAGACAATGTTTAAAATACACATTATACAACCATACATAAAACTTGGCATACTTGCATGGTGTCCAAATAATGTTCAGCTGAAGTTCTGATGTCCATGGTTACACTATGCTACGTAACGAGGTTTAGACTTTGTTACCTTCAGACTGAGCTAGGCTAGCTGTTTTCCACTTGTTTTCAGTCTTTATGCTAAGCTAGGCTAAGCTAAGCTAGCAGCTGTTGGACACAGCTTTATAGCTATCATGTGAAAAGGAGAGTGGGGTCATCTTCTCATTTAACTCTGTACAAAAAACGAAGAATTGTTTCACAAAATGTCGAACCAAACCTCTATACTGTCTTTGAATTTATTAATATTTCAATAACTTCAAATCAAAGCGGAAATTCGAAGAATACAAATTTCTTTGGTATAAGATGAAAACGTAAGGTCCTTAAGGCAACTCCTTAAGATTGACATTTGGAAATACTGGATTTAACAGTACGCTATTCAAAATAGGGAACGATATATTTAGTAAAAAGGGAATGGATGTGTCCAGTTTTTGTTTCAGTACTTTAGAACGACTATGCTGAGAAAATATTTTGAGACTATTGTTAATACTAGCCTCACTCCTTATCACTTGGTGGCGGTAATGTACCAGTTCGTTGTTTGCCAACCGCCAATACATCTCAGAAGAAGAATGTGCCGGAAGTGTTCCTCTCTACTGTTAAACCCGTCTTTCAGATCAGCTGAGACTCAATTAAATTAGACGTACACCAGAGCAGAGATGGAGGCTGTTTTCTTGAGGTTTGACTCGTATGATTTCGAGGCTGATAAGAGGTTTCAGGATGGACTGAAGGTTTTACACCAGTCCAACAGCAGCACGGACGAAACCAAACTTCTAGACATGAAACTCGTCTTCTATAACAGGTTTGTGGCATCTGTGCAGCCTCATTTGCCCAAATCGGTTTAAGTAAAAAGTGAGCTGACCGTGCGATAAATGGTTGTTAGTAGCTTAAAATAACTTCTGGACTTTTCCCACATATTATCTTCAAGTGGTAGAAACGCCAGCATACCCCACACTTTTGTAATGTTCTGCTCTGTTTTTAATATCAAAGTTCTCTTGATGCATGTAACCTATTGTATGATTTCTCTGTGCTACTCATTTCACAAACTGCTACGTGTACTTAAAAAAAGTAAAATGCAAGATTTGATCTACAGCAGTAAAATTCACCTGCCACAGCAATAACTATTTAACATGAAATGCAAATAATAATAAATCACATTCAAAATAAAAGGAATTTACATGAGTTATTCAAAACCTAACTTATTAAAATTCAGTAATATTTATTTGAGACTCCTGTTTAGTTTTTTTTTCTCACACAGAACATGTGATCAACAATATTACACGTTATAGTACCATTAACTACAAAACAGTATGCGATAGTTTGACAATATTTGCAGTTAATGTTAAGATACCAAAGTGAATACTTGTCATTCCCTTTCAAGCCCCATTAATCATCTCTGTCATCACCAGGTTTGTTGAGCCCATAGACAGATTCGACTACAAACAGTGGAGCTCTTCTTCTCATGTGACACGGATGTGCTGCAGCGTGGAGCAGCCGGGCCAGCATACACCTTCAGGTTCAGACTCTAGTGTCAGTAAAAACCAAACAGTAAAGACGGAGGCAACAAAGCTTTCATTTGCTGAGGTGATGCGACTGGTTCAGGAGGGTAAGGAAGTGCCAGGAGCAATAAAACTGGACATAAGGCCAAGCAACCAGAGTCCCACCCCTACTCAGATGGAAAGGATACCAAAACCCTGGGAAACAGCATCCTTGACCAAGTGATCTTTAACTCTTTGTAGCACCATGTAAATAAATTTGTATACATTTTAAATAAAAAGCTTATAAAATTCCAGCTAGCTGACATGTTAATGCTACCTGAAGGTGTAATAGTCTTACATTTCATCTGCAGTTTGTGAGTGAGCGCTTATTTATTGGACAATGCCTGTCATTTTTCTACCGTTCACCTCTGCCCAAGCATGGACAAACTATGGGCCCCCCTCATACAGAGACTACAAGACCCCCACACTCAAAGAAGCTAAATGACTATAAATAACATGTTTAATTTGGCGATCACTACAGACACCTATGGTCAGGAGCCTCAATGAGGTTGGACCTGAATTTCCTGGAAATCCCTGAAATGCCAAGTTTAGGAGCAGCCTGCAGTATTATAGTGCCACCGTGAGGAGCCAAGAGGGTCTACAGGGGAACAAACCAGTCCACAGCCTTGTACAGTATTTAAGTTTTATTTTTATGTTTATGTACCCAGAACTACCTGGAAATGGCACAGATACAGGGTGGATTATCCAGGTGAAATTAAATAACATCACCACTGCCTCCATAATAACATACACAGCTAGTTGTGACAGGTGTTGGTTCACAGGGGGCCCACGGGCTTAACATATAACCAGATCCCCTCAGCTTGTCCTAAATCATTTAGCGCAGCATAGCTGTGAACACCGTTGACATCTTGTGGTAGAATATATTTTAGGTCCTGTCAGTTGTAACCTCCATGGCATGATACAAAAAAACCCAAGACAGAAACGAATCATAAATTGTATTTCATCAGTTGATGCTGCAGCACGAATGCCAAAATTATCACTAGCTTGGTACATAGTTACATGTATTTATATAGATTTTTAAAAGGGGATCTAGAGAACTCTCTCCTATGAATGTTTAATCGGTCATAGCTAAACAAAGTCAAAATTAGATTTTAATTATTTATGTTTTAATTTCCAAATTTGTCAGGGCCAAATAGAAAGTAAATGTTCAATTAAGTAAAAATCCCACTTACATGTTTATTCATTGGGTCCAAACTTGGCACTTACTGTGTTCACTAAGGAAACGGACTGTATATCACACTAATATTTCTAATGATTCCCTATGTCCGTTTCTCTTTAAAACAATCAACAAAGGAACACCCTACAAGAAAAGTTCACTTTTAGCTGTCAATTAAGGATACAGGTAAAAAAACAAACAAAAAAACAGAAATCAACTGCTATGCACAGTTAGCACCATCAGAAAACGTAAGTCCAAACAATCAGTGAGGTAAAGGAGCGGACAACATCAGGACTGTATGATTTCACTGTAGGTGTGTGCACCATGCATGTGGACAACATGTGAACAGATACAGTCCATACTAAACTAACAGTGACTCGTAACTAACACAGCACCACTATTTTAACTTGTAGAAAAGATAATAAAAAAACACCCATTTGGACATTAAAAAGCACAGGTGTGCATACATTTCTAACTTAGAGCACTGTTGATGTTTTACTTGAGTTACAAATTCCATCAATTCATCAAGATCACATCAAACATTAAAAAGAAATGCAAACTAATGTTGGGCCCAGTCTCACTGAGATTTAAAGGACCACACCAGCAGTTTTGCATGTGGACCTGCAGTTTATATGAGTAAAAAATGCTCATCAGTTTCCCAGAACATGAGATGTCTTGTTTTGTTCAGCAGAACAAAAATAACAGCTGAGAATTACAATTTTATTTTTTTTTCTGTTGAATAATTAATTTCTTGCTTTGCTTATAAAATTTCAGAAAAAATGCTGCAAGTCACAAAAAAAAACTTGTTCTAAAACCCAGAGACATTCAGTTTACCGTAATAAGTAGCAGCGAATTCTGCCATTTGATAGAAACTGAGTGTGTGACATTCTGAAAAATTAATTAATTTGTTTTTGTTTCAACTCTGATACATATTCAAATTACCACAATTTCTGACAAAGAAAAGCAGCAAATTTTCACATCTTAGAACCTGAACCCTCAAATGTTTGGCATCTCTGCTTGCAAATCAATCGCTGAACTGGTCGCCGATTATTTTCCTTTCAAACAACTGGACTAGTCATTGCAGCTGTGTGCTCTTGCTTTCACACAGCCAGGGTGGTATGAACATCACCCTGCAGAGCCACGTAAGCCAATACAGAGCATGTTTCTTCTAGAAACGTTTCTGTGCTGTGGTGGTT